TCACTCGGTGGAACGCTCACCCAGCAGTGCAGACGTGAACATGGCGGTGTGTGCCTGTCCCTGCAGTACTTGGGAGGCAGAAGCAGGAGGACCAGAATGTCCAGTCCCCTTTACTTGCTCTGAGGCCAGACTAGAATACATGAGACCCTGTCTCATGAAGGAGCAGAGAATTCTACCCGGCGGGGAAGGGGAAGGAAAGGGATCTCTACGACAGAGGCTCTTGGGGTGGACCGAGCACAAAGGGGACGGTCTCTAAAATTCTACCTCCACTCACAGGGCCACGAAAAAAGCGTGGGGGGTAAGTTGGAACCGACAGCTTTGGGGGAGCCCGGGCCGGGGTGCAGGGGCGGTGTAAGGGTGAAGCTCTTTGGGTGTTTTTTTTTTTTTTCTGAGACAGGGTTTCACTGTTTAGCTCTGGCTGTCCTGGAACTCGCTCTGTAGACCAGGCTGGCCTCGAACTCCCAGTGATCCGCCTGCCTCTGCCTTCTGAGTGCTGGGGTTAAAGGCGTGCGTTATCGTGCCCAGCTGGTGAAGCGCTTTTAGTAGTGTGCTTCATGCATTCACTAAAGCATGAAGATGCTCTTGAGTTTCGGGTAAGAACTCACACACTAAAACAAAAAGACTTCTGTGAGTTCGAGGCCAGCCTAGTCTACAGAGTGAGTTCCTCCATTCCAGGACGGCCTCCAAAACAATACAGAGAAACCCTGTCTCAAAAAACCAAAAACAACAACAACAACAAAAAGACCTCTGGTCAAACCCAAGAGCAGTGTCAGCTATGTCCCTGGATTCTCAAGGATGGCCTCACTACACAACCTCCTTGTGGAATCAAACTCCCGGCCAGTGCCACTCAGAGGGAGGCTTCTGGGGTAAGGCTGAATCCATCTACTATCTATCTGACAGGGAGACTGTTCACCGGTCACAGAGCCCCTCTGTCTGAGGGCCTCAGAAGGGACACATTCACGCCCTTCATTCTGAGACTGCTCGGGCAGATTCTGATGAACCAGGGTGCTTGTGTTTTACACACTGTGAATTGTGAAAAATGAACAAAGTCTCCGTGTTATAAAAGTGAACACCCCAATGTGGCGGGTTTTACTGTGCGGCCCAGGCTGGCCTTGAACCTAAGACCCCCCCCCACCTCGTTCTCCTGCCATCAAACTCAAATTTTAAATGCAAAACCTCACAGACTGGAGGACTCCTGTCTACCACAGCATCCTGCCATCTTCAAAATGATGAAAAAAGATAAGCCGTGCATTCAGGTCAGGTATCATGTTTCTACCCAAATTTCAGCCGCGCTGGGGAAGCGTTTCCCTGAATCTTCTCGTGCACACAAGCCTTGACAGAATTCTTTTCATGCTCACCTGGATCACACCCATGCAGGAATCGAGGAATATGGATCCTTTGGGCTCCTTGGAGATCTTTTCATCTTTATAAAAATTTAGATTATAGGATCCATCACCAAGTTGAATCAGGTGGAAAAAACGCCTCTTGAAGGACTGAAAACAAAAAGCCAGACACGGACAGCTCTTCCAAACGGACAGCGGGGACCTGAGAGCCACAGGGACTCCTGAGCCAGGAAGCTGTAACCTTCCTGGGGTTCTAGCCAATGCTGGTAACTGGACTGGCAGGAGGAAGACCCTCCCACCATGGCTCACGGCCCTCCCGCCTATCTATCCGTCCTAAGAAGGCTTCACCAACGCCTACGCGTCACCCTTTCTCGCCCACAGAGCTTGAGATCCTACAGAGCCACCCGAAAGTCGGGAGAGGAGTTCCAATTCAGATCTGTGCTCAGATCCCCAGAGCCCCTCACACAACAGGGGGCGTCTTCCAGTTGTGACACACAAGGGCTTAGGGGCGTCGGGATTCTGGCCGCCAGCCGGTCCCTGGTTAACTTCCCATCTGAGTTCACCTCACCTTCCCTTCGCTGTCTCTTTTCTCCTTAAGTGACTCACCCTGGTCTCTTCTGCACAACCTCTTAAACCATGTTTACTTTTATAATTTTAATTTTTTTTCATTATGTGCCAGAGGTTGTGGGATGCCCCTGGCGCTGGAGTTACAGGCAGCTAGCTGTGCGCTGCCTGATAGGAGCTCTGGGACTTGAACTCAGGTCCTCCGGAAGGAGCCCGACAACATCCCTTTTGAGGAGGAAAGGCAGGGCGAGGGCCCTCTTACCCTCATGGTCACGCTGATCGCACTGTTCATGTTGCCTTTGTACAGCCAGCCGTGCTTGGTGATCCCGCCCTTCTGAGACCCGAGGGAAGCAGCATCCTGGGAGGGAAGGAAACACCACAGCATCCATGGACTGCCTACGCGGATTAGTTACTGCGAGTTTCCCCACGGGGGAGGGGGGACCACTCCGCCAGTGCCAAGCTAGCCACCTACTGCTCTATAGGGACACCAGTGCCTCGGTGTCACACTAGAATTCGCTTGCAGCGAGACAAAAACGAGCCTGTGTTTCCAGATATCCCGTTCCCTCAAAGGTCAGGTTCGTTCTGGCCGGGTTTTTTTTACTTCCGAGGGTTGAATGAGCCCCACAGAAACCACATACTGCCTCACCCAGTTTCACGGGGGGAAAAAAGTCTTCAAGCTACGCTCCTCCAAGGGTTGGAGCACAAAAGGAAATTCTTGAACTGCTTCCCAAAGGCTTGGTTCAGGGAAAGGTGAATAAAGAAATGCAAGACAATGCAGAAAGGAGGTGGAAAATGTACAGTGTGTCTTCGAGCTAAGACCCACCCAGTGAGAAGTAAGCGGGCGTGAGCTGGCGGCCACTAAGAGTTTTATTAGGCGTGTACCGTGCCAGCCCCAGCGGCAGCCAGCACATGCAGCCACGGGTAGCTATAGATGTGGCCTAACACAAAATTGTGACGTTACCTGAAAGGTTTTGGCATTCTTTTTTAAATGTAACTGGACTGCCCAGCGTGTGGATTTTAGAGCTGACAACACCAGTTCGCCGTGACAACACGCCTGAGAGACAGAGCGTGAACGGACAGAGGGAACACGGACTACAAACGGCCGGGTCTTTTGTTACAAAACTGGCCCCGGCTTCGTTTGGAACCATTTGTGGCTTCAGCCTTGTTATCATTGGAACTGACAAAACCATGTACCCGTCACGGGTTTCCTAAGCTACTGGGCACCTCTCCATGTACACCTTCACTTGGCCCTCCAGGCCCTATAATAGCACCTTTAAAAAATAATAATAATAAAAAAGACTGTGCGGCCCTGGCTGCCCTAGAACGCATTATGTAGACCAGGCTGGCCTTAAATCACAGAGATTCATTCCCCACTGCCTCTGCGAGGTGAGTGCTGGGATTAAAGGCGTTTACCGGGAGCCACATTAGGTTTTCTGAGAATTGTTTCTAAAACAAGTGGCTCCGGGAATATTAACTCCTACAAATGGTTAATGCTGTACTTGGTTTACAGCTAAGGGAGAGGGAGGGGAGTCTAAACTTGTGGCGGGTACTGACGGGTGATGAGATATGTAGAAAAGGATCTGTGTTGAGCCTTCCTGGGTGGGCAAGCCTAGAGCCCTGAACTCTTTATACTCTTCTCTAAGAACTGCTTGTTCCCCTCCAAGAGTCAGGGAGCTTATTAACGTCAGTCTGCTCAAAAACAGTCCCGATGAAATGGCCATTTTACTTCCACTGGTTGCCATCCTGTGGAAAAACTGTCTAAATGCAAGGTCTAGGTCGTCCTGGTATCTTTTAATAACGTGGCCAGATCTGACCCACGTCCTTGCAAACAATCTCAAAGCAAAACACAAGTCAGGGAATGTGAGATGCTGAGCAGCTGAGATAAAGCAGGGAGGGACCTAAAGTCAACCCCAGAATATGTTTATGAAAACTTCTTCCTTTGCTTCATTAAGCATCCCAGTTCCTGCTTGGGCTTGAAGGCCGGCGCTCCTCTCGAAGCCTGCGCAGTCAGAGTCTCCAGGGAGGAGAGAGACAGGAGGGAGCAGGACCCCTACCTCGTCTTTGTCGGCCTCCTCGTCAACTTCGTAGACGTGAACTGGAAGTTTATCCAATTTGGCCGCTTTGCTTTAAAGACAAGAAGGGAAACTTGCTTTGTAACCGCATAGTCGATAGTTTCCTTCTCCGTCCATCCATCGGAGGAGCCCGCCCCGCAACAAGCCCAACAGTGGCTTTTCCTAAGGTAAACAATAACACAGCCCACACCATCGCTTCTCGATGAGCCAAAGGTCCACACAGCACTGTAGAAATGAAGACACGTCTTGCTAGAGCTATGAGGCCTATTAAATGTAAGAAAGTTGACTCGGTGCTAATTAAAAGACTTGGGACAGGTTCTAATATAAAACACGAGAATCAGCGAGGGGGGGATCACAGAATTTTGTGATTAATGATGGGGGGGGAATGAAGTGACTAACAGTGGTCAGAACTGACGAGGACAGCAGCAGTAGCTGCAATGGAATGATTAGCTATGTGCTGGGCATGCTGGGTACCCTGCACGTGACCTCACATTTTCTCGTCTAACCTGGTGGGAGCTGTTGTCAAGCTACTTAAGTGGAGACTGAGGCACACGGAGGGCAAAGCCATCCCAGACAAAACCCAGAGTCTGTAAATCCGACCTCATTACACCGCTCCATTCAGTCGGAAATTCTTGCTAATGCTCAATGGCAAAAAAAAAAAAAAAAAAAAAAAAAATCAACCAACAGTTAAAAACCTTACCCCAGGGTAAACATGGAACACATGTAGTCAGTTACCTTTCACCACGGAGATATTTTGAGCAAGACAATCAATCAAAGAAGGTAGATTTACTGGACCAAATGGGAATTATCCCCAAATCCCCCCAAGAGAGCACTGGGAGCCTACAGAGCTAAGAAGTCCATCCTTGTGGAGAGAATAACACTGGCAGGGAGCCTTCCCTCTGATGTTTAAAGGGAGGTGATCAGGAAGTTGGCTGAACACTCTAAGGAGTGGCTGGGCCACACACACACACACACACACACACACACACACACACACACACACACACACACACACCGCAAAAACAAACAGTGAGGTCCCTGCACAAAGGGCTCAAAATCTCACAGATGTAACAAACCCGACTTTCGGGGTGACAGCAACTCTGAAGACAATCTGTCTCCGTTCACTCTGTTGCCTGCATCAACTACGCTTCCCTCTGCCAACCGTGTTTGGAATGCGCTGTTTTCTAACAGTCCTCGGAGTGGAGACCCCTCCACCCTGCTTCCCTTTAGGACTAACCTATCGGAAAACAATTGCAATTGGTACCCTCGCAGTCACAGCGTCAAAGAAGGTAAGAGATTGACCTGGGGAAAACATGGGGTCGGATTTACCTTCTCAACACATTTCTTCACTATAGAAAGTCTTCACACGTTTCTTTTCCAAAACATTCTTTTGAAGAAACACACACACACAGAGAGAGAGAGAGAGAGAGAGAGAGAGAGAGAGAGAGAGAGAGAGAGAGAGAGAGAGAGAGAGAGAGAGAGAGACTATTCTCAAGAATTAAGCTGGAGAGAACCTAAGTGTCTGTCTGTCTATCAACAGAGTAATGGATACACTGGACGGAACCGTTTTCAGGCATAAAAAGTGAATGCAGCTGGAAACACTCATATCACAGGAATTATGCCAGTCTCAGGAACACAAGTACGTGCTTTCTCTCATATGTGGGGCCTAACTTTATGCAGATACACAGACATCATGGAGACACAGATGACAACGTGCCTGAGGGTGGAGGGGGCAGGCGGGAACGGTGGGAAGAGCAGGGAACACGCTCAAAGCACTGTACACGCTTGAACGAGAATGTGGTTATGAGCCCTGGAGCATGTGCAGTGGTGTGCGTCAGTACAAGAGATGACGAGAACACAAGAAAGTGGAATGTGTGTGCAAGCACAGAGGAGAAAGGACAGTGGGGGCGGGGAAGGGGGCGGGGAAGGGGGCGGAGCAGCGTGTGGTCAGTGGGAGACGATCAAAAGTATCACACATGTGGACGAAATGTCACGATGAAACTCATCACTTCATACACAACTAATAAATGCTAACACAGAGTGGTCCGTCTAGTAGGCATGAAACCACGCCGCAGAACTATTGCGATGCGGTGTCCTTTATCTCAGCGGAATCTCAGAACAGAATTAAGTCACCTCTGTGTCCTCATAGCTGTCTACCCGTCAGAGGAGGACGTTGAGTCCTGCAATCACAAGCCACGCCCACACACACAGGAATCGCCTGTATGTCCGCTGCCTGACTCTGCAGATGAAGCCACGCTCGCCTTCCTGAGCGCACAAGCCCGAAGCGCGTGCATCCCACGCGCCCCGCCGACAAGTGACTCACCTTGGAAGCTGTCGGAAGTCTCCCGAGTACTCTTCATATTTATAGGTCACAAGATGCCAGTCAGAGTTGTAGGTTTTGATGCACTGTCGGGAGCGGGGTGGGGTTAGAAAAAAAAAAGACAAAAACGTAGAAAGTCAGGTGACTAGAGATACAAAGTTCTGTCGTCAATCATCTACTGCCAAAATTCTACTTGCAGAGCCTCTGAGCCAGTGAAACACGACCCTCGGGAAAGATACCCTTTCAAGTGATCAATATTAATGATCTGACAAAAGCTTTTATATGGTGACATTGAAATATCAATTACTATCCCTGGCTTATAACCATTAGTTTTTTATAAACAACAACAAAAACCCACCAAAGTGATGTTGCTACGGGGGTTTGAACAGGAACTGCCCCTGGAGGCTCTTACATATCAATGTTTGATTCCCAGTTGGTAGAACTGTTTGGGAAGGATCAGGAGGTGTGGTCTTGTTAGAGGGTGTGGCCTTATTGGAGGAGGTGTGTCACCAGAAGGAGTAGAGCTTTGAGGTTTCAAAAGCCTGTACCATTCCTAAAGTCTCTCACTCAGGCTTGTGCTTGTGAGTGAAGATGTGCATTCCCAGTTGCTGCCTCAGGAGCGTGTCTGCCCGCCACAACAGCCATGGACTCCCCCTCTGAAATGCAAGCCACCAGCAAACTCTTCCATAAGCTACCTTGGCCACGGTGTCTCGCCACAACAATGGAAAAGTTGCTAAGACAGTTGCACTTATTTATTTGTGTGTGGGGAAGGCATGTGACGGGCCCTCGCAGGCCTGGACTTGGCAAGCATGGCGGCGCAGGTGGGCCTTGACCCTCCCTATTTCCTCTTCCTTACAAACCATAGATTGTACCCCTAAAGCTAGCCACTGAGGTCTATTCCTCATTGGCCAGACTCATTTCCCAGGCTGACTACCGAAGTCCAGCAACCAGAAGCTCCCTTCGGCTAACCTAATTAACCTGTGTTGTGGGAGGATGGCCTTTGTGTACACTGTGAAGGTGTGTCGCTCTGACCAGCTTCATAAAAAACTGAACGGCCAATAGCTAGGTGGCGGGATTTCAGGACATGGAGGATGCTGGGAAGAAGATAGTGGAGACGCCAGGAGACACAGAGCAATTGGGATGGGGGCTAAGGAAATGAGGTAATAAAGTCACAAGGCAGAAAGAAAATGAATGGAAATGGGTTAAGTTATAAAATCTAGTGAGAAACAAGCCTAAGCTATCGGCCAAGCTTTCATCATTTATAATAAGTTTCTATGTTTTGTTTTGTTTTTGCGAGCTGGTGGCCCAAAGAAAAATTCGTTTAGGAACATGTCCAGTCAAAATACATACCATTGCATCCTAGCCCACTCTAACAGAAGCCTCCCTCCCGTTCTCTTCTTTAAAATCATACACGCAAGGTCATTTGCTGCTGTTTTCCTGAGTCAGAAAGCAGCTACTCCTCTTCCCTGCTGAATAAATGATCTCTCTGTGTAATAGGCATCTGGGTGCCGCTTGTGCCTAATGCAGGGTCTGGGAGGGAGGTCCCCTCCCCCCTCGCTGTGTGTGGGTCCCTTCAGAGGCTGTAGGGCAACTGGCCAGAGCCAATGCTCTCCCCGCACCATGTGGGTCTGGGTGGGGGGTCAAACTCAGGGCAGCATGTTTGCAGGCATCAGGTGCCTTTACCCTCTGACAATTAGCTCGTGGCTTGGGAAGGGGTCGTATGTCTCGAGTGTGTAAGCCTCAAGACACTTCCATGACATTTACCAACGCTAGAACTAGTGCTGTTAGTGCCGCTGTTTAAATTTGCCCTTGGTTTATCTTCACATTCCTAAGTGACAGAGTGAGGTTAGGAGGCGGAAAGATGTAGACTCCAAATCACATGGCCTCATGGACTTTGTGTGTGTGTGGTATGTGTGTGTCTGTCTGTCTGTCTGTGGGGTGTGCGTGTGTGTCTATGTGTGTGTGACTATGTGTGTGTATGTCTGTCTGGGGGATTGTCTATGTGTGTGGTGTGGGGTGTGTGTGACCCATCTGAGGGCTGTGTGGTCTTAAGACCTCCAGGCTACAACCGTCGGCTCTTCACACAGGACCGAGTGGGACTCAGCAGCTGAAGGCTCAGCTTGTTCAAGTGGGCGTTTTTAGTCCGTGTGAAATTCTAGTCTGCTCCTGACTTGACATGTACAAAACCGAGTACAGAAAAAGATGAGTACAGTGAATAGATTCACTTGTGCTACACCCCATTTGGGGGGGCGGGGCGGGGCGGGGTAAAATTGTGTGTGCCTAAAGCTTTTGAACAAACCCCTACCCCTATTCCACTCCGTTTACACCAACTGCTTTGTCTGTGTGGCAGGGAGCAGCCACCAGCTAACAACGGTAACGACAGTTGGGTGGGTTTTTAGTTTTCCTATGCCAGGCTTCACAGCAAGCAACTTTGCTCGAAAATATAGGAAGGGAAGAGGTGTGTGTGTGGGGGGGGGGGGTGTTGCAGATTGTTCTTTGGAGGCAGAATGAACAGGAGAAAAGGGTCAAGGGCAGGGCCAGCCAGGGGCAGGTGAGCAACTTCTCTCCATTTGACCATGCAACTGTAAATATTTTAAAATGTTATCTCATTCTTACAAATACCTTCTCACAATTTCCAGCCAAAACTTCCACACCTGGATGTCAGGTAACCACATTCAAAATTAGATTCCAAAGCCACCGAATATGGTTTGAGAAATCATGTGTACTTATGGGTTTTCCTGCAGCTGCCCTGCGGCCTGCTCATCCCCTGAAGGCGGGCCTGACTGTGTGTAGCACACGCCTATCCTCTTTGTCTGGCCAGGATGGATGGCCTCTCAACAGCTGCAGCTCGGTTGGCACCGCCAACTTCCTAACCAGACATTAAGCTATCCTGAGGCACCGCATGTACCCAGCTAGCTAAAAGTAAGAGGGGAAGACAAAAGTGGACAGCGTGGCTGTTTTTATGAATGGCGTATTTGAATACCCACGTGTTTACGACCTTAAGCAAAACGGGGCAATATAATGCCTAAATATTTAAACTTGTAAGGAACTGGGCAGTAAGGACTCGCTGGTCAAAAAAAAAAAGGCCACCAAGCCCGATAACCTGAGTTCAACCCTCTGAAGCCCCATGGTGGAAGAAGAGATGAACTCTTGCAAGTTGCCTTCAGACCTCCATATGTGATTGAGGTTCACATGTACACATGTACATGTACACACACGCACGCGCACACACACGCATGCACGCGCACACGCACGCACGCGCACACACGCACGCACGCGCACACACGCACGCACGTGCAAACTCATGCGCTCACACACGCACACACATACAGGCACTCATGCACACACACACGCACATGCATACACACACACACACACACACGCATGCGCACACGCAGGAGTAAACTGCACAAATCAGCAAGTACTCCAGCTACCCAGAAATTCACTCAACAAGCGCTCTTACCTATCTAGCTTGAATCCCAAGGCAGAGGTACCAGGTAAACCAGGCGCCACCCACCCGTGGGGCTCCAATCTTTGACACAACGGATTCCATTGGAAATCTAATAAGAAAACTGTCTCCAAACAGGAGGGGACGTGAGCACCTTTCAGGCTTGGGGACCTCAACAAGAATTGTTGACAGGCATGTGAACGGCACATAGAGGGTTGTTGTTGTTTTTGCAAGTTCACTGTCCTCCAGACGAGAGGGTGGAGGGCAGACAGAAGAGGCCTAACACAGTTTAATCACATGGGCTCCAGCAGCTCAGGATGACACAGGGATTGCGTAGACCGCAGTGATTAAAACAGCTAACTGGAGGGCTGGTGAGATGGCCCAGGGGTTAAGAGGACCTGGGTTCAATTCCCAGCGCCTACATGGTGGCCCACAACCATCTGTAATTCCAGTTCCAGGGGACCTGATGCCCTCTTGTGGTCGCTGTTGGCACTGCACACACATGACACCCAGGCAAACGCTCATACCCATAAAATAACTTGGGTTAAAGCCAAGCCTCAGGAGTTAAGAACCCTTGTTGCTCTTGCAGAGGATTTGGGTTCAGTTCCTAACACCTCTATCATGATTTACAGTTATCCAAAACTCCAGTTCCGGGGACTCCAACACCCTCCTTGGACCTCCATGGAAACCAGCATGGATGGGGTACGCCCGTACACATGCAGGTAAAACACTCACACGTATAAAATAAATAAATCTAAAGAAACAATTTTAAAAGAACAAGCAAATCTTTGAGAAATGTAACCCAGTGTTCTCCCTACCCTTAAAATAAAACAAAAACAAAACAAAACAAAAACAAACCCTTTTAAGGAGTAGGGAGAACCGAGAGACACTTTTGCCACATGCTCTGAGGCAGAAGCTGGCAAACATTCTGTAGAAGTCCAGACAGTCATAACACCATGAGCTTCAGGGTCACGTTATCTATACGCAAGTCTGTTGTATTATGACTACAGCCCAACCTGTGAGCAGATGGGTACGGCCATGCACTGACAAAACCTCAGTCACAAAAGTAGGCCGCAGGCCGGATTTTGGCCTGACGTCACATTTTGCCAAAGCCTGCCTTTAAAGAAATGTTCATATCTGTATAAACATACCGTGTGTGTGTGTGTGTGTGTGTGTGTGTGTGTGTGTGTGTGTGTGTAAGCCTGTATAAACATACCTAGTATGTATACAGAGGTCTGTATAAACATATGTTTGTGTGTGTGTGTGTGAACCTGTATAAACACACCAAGTGTGGACACTAAAGGTACTAACATGGTGGAGAAGGTACTGGAGCAGGGGGATGACAGAAGGGCAGTGACAGAACACTATTTCAACATCTTATACACAGACTTGTTTTCTCTTAAATTTCCAGCAGGACAAAATGTTATTTAATTGGTTGTCACTGTAAAAAGCACAGTTTTGCTAAACAGAATGTGCCTCATCTAAATATCACCTAGAAAAAAAAATTGGCCCAGCTCATTTTTAAATATATTACTCATGTGTGTGTGCGTGTGTGTGTGTGTGTGTGTGTGTCACAGCACATGTGTGTGAGAGACAGCATGTGTGTGAAGGTCAGAGGGCTTTCTCCTCCTGCACGTGGGTCCTGGGTATCAAACTCCCGTGCTGCCAGCCATCTTTACCTACTGAACCATCTTGCCGGCCCCCAAAACTCATTTCTAAAGGAAGAAACATTTCAAGAAACAAAATTGCAGAAAATAATTGATTTCTTCTACCTAAAAAACAGCTGGAGGAATAAGCACACACACACGGGAACCAAAACCATGCCATCTGGAGGGTGGTGATGTCTCTTTGTCCAGGTTATTATGTGTGTGCTCACACAAGAAAGAGTGTGATTATATCGCACACAGGTCAGGGACAGTCAGCTGTGGCTATAACCACCCGGTTCTAGTCCTGAACCTTGTTTGCAAAAACGCCAGTGAAGCAAAAGAGCCCGTGATATGCTGCTAAGCCAGCCATTATCGGCCGAGTTCGCATTACAAGTCACCATGTGGTGTGTCTTTGTACAGGTAGCTATTTGAGAATCACAAATGAGCTCTGCAGACACTTCCATCCACTCTACGCACCCGAAACTTTCCATTTTAATCTTTAAAATGCCATCATCTCTTTGACAGCAAAATGTCAGAAAAATGACAAGATTCCATGGAAGGTGGGGGTGGAGGGAAAAGTCTTTACAATGGGAAATGTCTCCTTCCCCACCTTTTTTGGGGACGGGGGGGATGGGATGTCTTTACAGTGCACATGATGCAGAGAAAATGAAAGTACCTACCTCGGTGACAAATAAACTCTGCGCCTCCTCCTCTGCATTCACGGGGACTGTGGAGCGCATGTACCGCCCCTGCCGCCTCAGGATGGCTGTCTGTGAACAGAACACAGAGGAGCTGGTGAAGACTGAGGGCCAGGCTCTCCCACCTGGGAAGACTGAGGGCCAGGCTCTCCCACTGTGAAGACTGAGGGCCAGGCTCTCCCCCCTGTGAAGACTGAGGGCCAGGCTCTCCCACCTGGGAAGACTGAGGGCCAGGCTGTCCCACCTGGGAAGACTGAGGGCCAGGCTCTCCTGCCTGTGAAGACTGAGGGCCAGGCTCTCCCATTGTGAAGACTGAGGGCCAGGCTCTCCCACTGTGAAGACCAAGGGCCAGGCTCACAGCACAGCTGAGGGCCCTGCAAAGGGACGGAAGCCCAGGAAGTGCCTCCAGGACAGCTGCCTCCTGAGGTCACTCACAAGAGATCCAGTCGACATTTTGAATTTCTAATGCCCAGACAACGGGGTAGCAGTGCAGGCTAACTGATCGCCAATTATTAAATGAATGTGCAGACCAAGAGAGCCACGCCTTGCCTCTCAGGATTAGCGCTATTCTTGCTTTGGGAGATTTCCAGTCCTATGTTATTTTTTTTTAATCCGATTAGCACCTACTTACACACTGACTAAAAATAATGAATTTCATTATGCCATCTCCATACGTGTATACTAATCCTGTGAATGTGTTCACAGAGA